ATCGATGAGTTACACCTTTTTGAAAATTTTCGTACAGGCCACTAATTGAAGCTGTTGGAATTATCCAGAAGAAAACTCACTCCGCATGAATTTACGCCAATTGGTCGTTTCTACTTTCTACAGAAGGAGTGAATTGAATAATAACTGCAGTTCTGAGAGTTTTTTTTGCTTGCGATCCAACATCAGCTGTTCAGACTTCTTCAAAATGAATAGTATACATTGTTCGTGTGACGAGGGCCTTCATCAGCCAGCTTGTCAAGTTGGGCCTGCCGCTGGTATTAGAACCATTCCTGCAATCTGCAGCAGGGTCAACCGTCCGTTCGAACTGTTCGAACGAAGGGGTCGCATTTTGGTCGGAAGGGGGTCGCAATTTCGAGGACTGCCAGCCACAGGCGCGTGCGTGGCGTATCCGAGGGCAAGACTTGCTTGTGCAGACCGCATTAGATTCGATTATTATGCACAGAGAGACAGTTTTAGGCAAATTACGGTGTTTTCTTGAGGAATAAAGAACAGTTGAATGCATCCCTATGAAAGGTTTGACTTCTCGGGGCTGAAAACAAAGTTCTTCGGAGACCTATTTTTTGGGGACGTCTCTCTGGGAAGAAGGCAAAACTTAGATACAGTGGGAAATTGAATTTCCATTTTTCATTTTTCATGACAACTCTTTTTGTGCGAAAGATATCAGTATATGTACGCGTCAGGTACTCTAAACGCCCGAGGTAAGATTTAAACAGCGGACTTAAAAAATTAATTTGCACAAGTTCCTTGTTGGTAACAAATAAAAACATAAGATTTATGTAATTATAAATAATAATATAGTATAAAATAATAATTATATTAATAATATAAATAATAACATAATATGACATATATCAAAATGTTCTTGCAGCGCTTACGCACAATCATAGAAACTAGGTGTACGAAATCAATATGTATGTAGGCACATAACCTCATTACAATATAATTATTACATGTATATTTCAATCACTGGCTTCAATCACTGACGAAACTCCGAGTCAAGCCGTCGAGAAGAGTAGTGTCATAAAAAATTAATAAAAACTAGTCCGAATTAGGACATGCTTCAATAAGGTATGAGATATCATGGCATCCCGGCGACAAGTATAGATTAGTTGCTATGGCAAATGCGTACCTGCGGCCATATGGGTGCAACATTCGTCCTCATTTAAAGGTCACAATTGCTTGTTACTTACGTTCCATGGAAAATGCAGGCAGCCAAAGTATGGCAGAAGTGGTCCGCAGTTTATGAAACAATAACAGTGAACACTTTAGAATTGTCCGATACAATGCGAGAAGTTCGTGCATATGGTTCGATCCGTGAAAGCAAACCAAAAATACTGCAGGGTGGGCCGAAGTTATGAGGCCAAAGACATTATGTCCGTTTTAAGTAGGTTGATGGAACAAACAAAATTGCAGGAAAGTGCATCTCATCTTAAAGTAAATCCATAATAGTCTTGAATTCTGTCACCTACTGTGTCGTATAGTCAGCCTTCAGATGAAGGGGGTGGCGCGTGCGATGGCACGTAACTGAGGCGTGTCAAAAATGTTTCCAGGCCTTCTGCTCTGCTTTCTTCAGGGGATCAAAGTTTTGTGGGCACACTCATTTACCCTTGCTTCCAGGGTGTAAAATACAGAAATTAGAGCTATTAGGTGGAAGGTTACATTGTAAGGGTCCTTTGAAAGCAACGAAGTCGAAAAGTCGCTTTGTGAATAATTTCGCTTTATTATTGAGTGCTTTGTCCTGTACAAAAGTCCCTAATATAAGTACTCGGGGCTGCTATTCCACTAATACAGGTGTTTATCTGGTTCATACATCGATTTACTCGACCCTATCCCCCCTCGAGGCGGAATGGGTAAGTACAGTGGCGCGCTCACCACGCGAGCGGTCCGGGGATCAAATCCTGGGTCGTGAGTCGCCGCCAACCAAGCCTTCCATCCCTCCGGGGTCGGTTAATTGGTACCAGACTTGTCTGGGAGGATAAAAACACTGACTTGAACATCGGCTGGCCCCCGCAAGTCATTGTATAGGCCACATCGCATTCAAATGCCACTGCGAATGTACAAATGGAAGTAGAATGCGTGCCGCATCCCAAAAAGGGATTGATCAACGGCAAATGCTTTATCCTTTATCCTTTATAACATTTAATTTTACCACCTTAGAGTACAAATGACTGGTAAGACTACTTTCTGCAATCATAATGACTGTATCTGGATGCAACTGTAATCTTTGACCACCGCATTTTCCATCTGTGGCAGTTTTTGAGGCGTTTAACTGGTGCCCATAAGAGCTTCCCTGTTGAACTGCTGCTACACGTAGCGTGCCAGAGTGTTCAGTGAGTTCAATTTCAGGCCTGAAAGTACCTATGGAAGTTTATTTTATCTCAATTTAAGAGTTGCACGATAATTTGGCTTCTCCATAAGAGGGCATTATATCCTATCCCGCGCACACAAGAAAGAGATATTGGAATGGAGCACTGCGAGAAAAGGTGGACATAACCAGCGGTGCACACGTCGTGTCCCTCTATAAAATTGTGCTCCACCCATGTATTATAGGCTTTGGGAAAGATTTCGTGAAACCTACAGTGTGCTATGCTATGAATAAAGCTACTCCTTCTTAGACTGATCCTCCGTCTTTCTGTTCTTGATACTAGTAATTTGTTCTTCTTATACGTCGTAACGTTCCCCAGTTCAAAGCTCTTCTGCCGACTTTGATGAGATCTTGTGGTGCACGTTTATAGGTGCGTTGCAACAATTCCTTGATCACATTAATCAAACAAACTGCAGTCAAATGTGGATAAATATGGTCCTTAAAACAAAAGGTAGGAAGATCTCATTTTTGAACGCATCCTTCCAACATCAATTTGGCGTTAGTCTGTAGCCTGTCCTAATTTTCAGACGCCATCGCGCAGCAAGACTTCACTTTCAAGGAAGGTCGTTCAGGGTGTGCCAAGCTTTTCAAAACGGTCTTTTGCATGATATAGACACATGCGGGAACCACAGAACCATGGTTAATTTTTCCTGAACGGCCCTCTGAATACCAGAAAAGGGGGTCCCTAGTCACACCTTTTTCACCAGTTTTTCAATCAAAGTCTATTTGTAAGGGTTACTGACGGTCCTAATCATGAATATGGTACTAATTATTCATGCTAACTCCATTTTGCGCGAATTTTGAAACGTCAACTCGAAATGCAAAAATTTGTCACCACGAGGAATCGAACTAGGGACCCCTTTTTTCTGGTATTCAGAGGGCCGTTCAGGAAAAATGAACCATGCTTCTGTGGTCCCCATATGTGCCCCAATGTCATGCAAGAAACCATTTTGAAAAAGCTTGGCACACCCTGAACGACCTCCCTTGTTAGACACGGGCTGCCTGCACCGCCGCTTTGACCCCCTCGTTTTTACCCTGTTCTTTCGCGTGCCTGCCAAAAGCCCACTTCAACATTTTGATGTCATCGGAGTGAAGCTCCTTTTCATGTTCCTTTTCTACGAACCTCCACAGCTGTGAGAGTTGTCTCTGAGTTTAGCCAGCAGCCGAGTTATGGATGCGTTTTCGAAGGCAATTTAGTGAAATGACAATAAAGAAATTTATTACATCGAAATTATATATACATGCTCAGCTACCATCATCACGGCATCACATATTGCAATAATAAATGTTAATTTTAACAACATATCATCGATAACATGAGGCGTATGGGTCATAGAGAGCTATACATTAATATAGTCGAGTATCGTTGAGGAGAGAACGAATTTGAGACAAGCAGCACTACTGCAACTTCGGATGGTCGTCATCCTCGACAGCTTCACCAGCCTGTTTCAAGGTTTGACCTAAATCATGACTTTGATTTGGATGGTTTAGCCGACCTCTTGAGGAGTTATTCCAAAGCCAAACGTTTTCTTTATTAAAAAGTTGGCCCCTTACCGACTGCATTCCGAGCGTCAGAAGCTGTTTCCTTGACTTTCTTGGCGGCGGCAGCTGAAAACAACTCTTTAGAAGCACGAAATGAACAACTGAATCTACAGGTTTTCACTACAACTTTTCAACGCACTCTGGCACTGATTTCAGCCCTTTGCCGCTCTGCACTGCCCCTCATTCGTACATGTCCTACGAGAATTTTTTGCAGAAGCATAGCCATGGAGACAGTTACACATTTTCATATATTTCTTGCCACGTTGATGATCAGGGGCACCTATCCCATCCTTCCCCCAGGCTAGGGGAACGAAAGAGTTTTTAGATTCATTTGTTTTCAATGGCGCAGTTCCCTCACTTTCTGCACACGCTTACCTACACATGTATACAGTAGCGGTCAAAAGTGTTTGCCGAAGCGATTTTTAGTGCATTATTTTTTTCTCGCTTGAGCAACGTCCTCCAAAGATTGATATACTATGTTTTCTAGTGTTTTTATATCCTCAAGCCTCGAAAGAATCAGGATGTTCAAAAGAAAAATTTTTTGAGGTCACCATGGATTTTTTGGTAAAAAAAGAGAAGCACGGAAAACCGTTTCCGGCGAACACTTTTGACCGCTACCGCATGAACATAAGAAACATGCACTTTTTCGGAACGATTTTGGTAGGAAAGACAAAGGGATTTTAACGGAATTTCTCGTCTCCCTAGCCTGGGGGAAGGATAGGATACATTCCCAGGTGGTGAAACAGCGCTCTTTCAAATGTTTACAAAAAATGAATCATAACACTGGGACTCAGAAAAACCAGAAATGTTGGGTCCTAATATAGAGACCCAGTGAGGTATGGCACATTCAT